TGAGATGCACAATAAAACATGCAATAAAGTGAGAGTAGCAGAGCTCACATAAACAGCATATTGTGTTGTCCACATGTTCAGTAGGGACAGAGCTGCGGGACCAATGAGCTGGCAGAGGCGACATGTTGTCTTTTTAGAAAGCCCGGCCTGTCTGCCTTCCTACACTGTGTCTGAGTCTGTGGGTTGTGGTTAATGTGGCCTGATTTTCACTGTATTTCTGTTGGTAGATGTACTGCGGTGATGTTCATTTTTAGCAATATTCAGTTTAAATCAAATAAATCTTTTCCACTGCAGAGTATATGATATTATTAGATCAAGTTTCTTCATCTGCAGTTATTGCTATTCATGACAAAGGTGCTGCCTTGCTCACACTTTCCATGGATTTAAACGTATTCTTTAGGGAAGGGTGTGCTGGCGGCTTGTGCCCCTGTGCCTTATTTTTTTTAAATGTCTGGCAACGCCTCTGGGTGTCTTTACAGATTTCCTTGGGTCAGCCTCAGGCGAGACGTCTCAGGCAGACACCTCATCAAGATGAATGACGGGAACTTGACCGACTAACGGGGACCAGAGTGGGACTACAATCTGCTGACTTCAGGCAGAAAGTTGCATAATGCATATTGAATTTAATCATAATATGGGTTCAATTTCCATCTGTAAATAACAAATTTGTTATTGTAAGTCCTTGGGAGGAGCACCTCTATGTGTGTGTGTGTGTGTGTGTGCGCGCAAGTCGAAGTCAAACCTTTAAGGCCAACTGTTGCATCCACATACGAGGTGATGGCATGGTGGATGCATGAATTATTCATGCTAATTAATGCAGCTTTATTCAGTGATATTCACGGGTACAACACTGCTGCCGCACGGCTTGGTGGTAACAGGTGGAGCTTTAAAGTTTCCTGTAAAAACACAGTTACTCCAGTTGCACTCACTTCACCTACCATATCTCTGCACTCTGCTTGTTTCCTTGTGATTACAAGCAAACAGGTGGGATGCTGGGGGTGAATCTATTTGAGGAGTACTATTGTTATAGTTCTTGTTGTCTCCTGTTCAGAAATGGAAAAGAGCACATGGGTAAAAGAAATTTTGTTGACTGTGCTTAACTAAAGGATTTTCGTCAGAGTGACAGCTGACAGTATAAGCTCATACACTATCCACATTTTTAGCACCGATTCTTTCGGGAGGGTCTATTTTCAGGTAGATGAAAATATAGTTCTTCCATTTCATCAGTATTGATCAGCCCTTCTCGATTTGCATGATCGGTGAGCCAGGATACTTATTATTAGGAAAGAAAAATCGATGCTGTCCTGAAAGACTTTAGGTATCGGGAGAGGAAAAAGGTGGACTGGCGCATCCCAAAGCAGAAGGGCGAGTCAGCCTGATCCGAGTTCTTGATACAAAGTATGTGGGGGATGTCAGTGGACGAACAGGGAGGGGCTTCAGTTGTGAAACACACAAGGTTTTTGAGCCAAATCGCATCCATGTTACCCCCTTAAAAAAAACCCACGAGGTGCTCAGTCAGGCTTCTTCCAGAGGGATCCGTCACGCACAAGCTCCCTGTACTTCTAACCCTTCATCTTTTTCCGAAAGATGATGAAACATGAGATCAGTCAAACCCCAGAGAAACGCATGACCCCAGCAGAGAAATCAGGTCATGTACAAGTAAATGGTAGGGCTGTACAAAGTGACTGACGGAGACCCATGGGCACACCACGGGGAAGGTGACTGGCATGTGTATCCTCAAAAACAAGGGGAATATTTAGGGCAGTCGAGACGTGGAAGCCTCAAGGACCCAAGTGAAATCCACAGCCTAAAATACTCCAAACACGAGGCAGTGGTCCAGCTGGGAAAACAGTACAGAGATGACGGGGACAAATGGAGCCATTTTTCACCAAACTCTGAATCACATTCAGGAGACCAAAGACAATCGTATTCATCTCCCACACACACACACACACACACACACACCAGCGTTGGCAGGTGCTACAGTTTCTAGATCAGATAAGTGTTATGTTCATGGTATGGCTGTGGCAGCATATACTTATTTCTGTATAAGCAGTACAGTCTGTGTATGTTAATAAACATAACTGTGAAACCAGACCACATTGAAATGGATCTTTTACACTCATTATTCAGAGGTGAAATAAAAAAAAGCAGCTTTCTGTTGTTCAGAGAGTTTACTCATTAATTCTTTATATGTCTCCGGGTTCATCTCAAAGCAGCAAAGCAGAGGCGTTGCTCCATTTTAATTAAATTAGGTAGGCAGGTTCATCTGAATATTCATTTATTACCCTAATAAAACTCTAATGAAAAAATTATTCACAGTTTTGTCTTGAATGGCGGAATCATTTGGCACCTCCAATCTCATTTGTTAGATTTCATTCATGAAAAAAAATTTAGCAGCAGGTTTTATCTTGATTAACAACGTGTGAATATAATATTCCTATTTCGGTCAACATGGGGGCCGCTCGGAGTCGAGAAGTCCAAAGGCATTCTTCATCCCCAGCCTGTCGCTGCTCATATCCACTACATTCCTCAGGGAAGTATTGTACTTGTTACGACACTACTTTTATTTGACGGCTGTAGTTACTTTGCAGATTCAGATTAGTAATACAAAATGTAAATAACTAATTATTATGTATTATCACAGATTAAGCAAGCTGGCAGTATATAAATGTGTTAAAAACATCTCTACCTTTTACCAACTGCAACATTAAAGTGGTGCGTATATTTATGACATTAATTATAATAATCAATTATTGTAATTCAATTATATCATATTATTCTGATACGGGCCATTCTGTACAATGAGTACTTTTGGTACTTTAAATACATTTTGGATACTAATTTTAACTGTAATGCATGACTGACGTGTACTTGAATCTATTTCCACTCTGTGTTGCTACTTTTATTTAAAGTTACTGTGAGGAACTTTAACCCGGTTATTAATTAAGCACTGGGCGACCAGCCCACTGCAGACACACTCGGATCCAACTGTGTGTGCTGTATCTAAACATCATAATACAGTCAGTCAGGCATTAATGCGTACAGTATACTGCAATACACTTATTCTCTGGCTACGAGCACTTCCTGCTCTTTGATCCACAATGAAATGTGTTCCTTTACATCACTTCTCAATGTTCTACATTCATAAACTATTCCCTCCCAAGCCTCAGTTCTTGACACCATTCAGACTCAAAGGGGATGAGCCCTACACACAGAATAGCTAATACAGGAACCACCAGCTCAGAAAACAGAGGAGTAATACAAGAATCCCTGTCTTGTCATTTCTCACAGGGTTATTCTGGCTTTTATCTTTGATGTACACTGTATCCTGGTGTAATGCAGCATTCACATCTCTTTATCCACCGTGTACCTGGGCTGACTCAGCAATTGAACCCTTCTGAGTGAAATGTTGTAGTTTTTGCAGAGGAAAATACATTTTTGCTAAACACAACCTGTCACTGGAACAGCCTTGCAGAGGAGAGTTAGAGATGAGAAAATCCGTCCTCAGGGTCAGTCGTTCTCTCTCAGTATATCTCCACTGTTTGTACAATGGAAAATATGTTTAATTAGCGCACCGCTTGTGCTGAATCTGCAAGTGACATCAGATATAAAGAGCTCTTTGCAACTTTAATCAGAATAAAATAATTTATATCATCTTGACAGCAGTTCTTTGTGATTGTCAGACAGACTGCTGGAATAGCCTGTAATTAAGAGCGTTCAATACCACGTTAAAAGTGAATTAAATGGCTCACATTAATGACTTTTGCTATTATTTTTTTCACCCCACTGTAAATAAAGAAAGAGATGTTAACAGCACATGTAATCACGGACACTTGATTGAATGAAAAAAGTACAAGCAAGAAGGCAAATAACAGTCATGTTTACTGCAAGGTTTACACTCAGTGTAATAAAATGCTCATTTGGAATAGTTGTAAATGTCATTTTTTATAATTTATTGTAACTCCAAACAAAAATAATTTCTACAAAAAATATTCAAATAATGTCATATAATATTGATACGTGGTCGATATCTTTTCTCTCTCTTTTAGACTTCTGATAAGTTAAATTCTGTTAAATTCTGCTTCCTGAATACTGTGTGAAGATTAAATCTCGCTAAGTGTGGCAACAATCACTCATTCCTATAACAACCATAATAGTGACTACATTTTTATTATTCGTAACCCCCTGGATATTATATAATATGTATAATCTCAGCGACTGTTAGTGGGCACATTAGATACAATGACTCAAGATATAATTTTGGAAAAAAAAGAATGCAGCAGAAATAGAATAAATGTAAACTCAAGTATCATCTTTTGAGAAGAAATGAAACCTGGTTAATATACTATGTAGGCCTCAGCAGCAGGATCCAACGCACAGCTCTCCTCCTGACTCGTCCGTCGTGTCGTCATGTCGCGTACTCTCACCGAGTCTGACCACACACACACACACACACACACGTCGGCCGTCAAACGGAGGTGAGATCCTTAACTCAACCAAGAATAAAGGAAGAAAAGAAAAGGTCCTTGTGGGTACAACAGCCATTCCCTTTGAAGTGAAACAGTGGTGATTTAAGTGTTTAGTTTATGCTTTTTGGTTTGATGCACATTGCTCCAGCTCAGGAATAAAGGGAACAGTGGTTGGTATGATTATTTTTCTTTTTTTTTTTCTTTTCTTCCCCCGTATGCATCTTTTTTTCTCTGAGGTTTCTTCTCTGTTCGACCTTCTCACACCTGAGCACACACCCTGTATCATAACAGTCCTGTGAAGTGTGTGTGTGTGTGTGTGTGTGTGTGTGTGCGTATATATGTGTGTTTTGTTAGGAGACTGGGGCTAGTTAGTGTTGTGTGTGTGAGCTTTTGTGAGTGCCGGGGTGTGTGGGTCCACGAATGGGGGCGGCCCTAACCATTCTGGGTCACCCCTCGCCTCGCCTCCACACACACACACACACACACACACACACACACACACACACACACAC